GAAAAAGAGGAAAACCCCCAATGAGATGGATCAGCCAGGTGGCATCATTGATGGTGTCAAGTGTGGCGGCGGTAGTGAGGTTGGCCCAGGATTGGACATTGTTTCGTTCTGCTGTGCATGGGGTTGCTATGAGTCGGTTCCGACTCCATGGCACCTGACAACAACAACAACTTCAGATTCATCAAGAGAAAAAAACAAGATAAAATTCTCACTTAAAATTTCCAGCACACTGACTGTAAAGTATTACCTTGAAAAGCATCTCCTAAGGTTCACAGTTCATGTGAACTTCTTCAAACGTCACGATGTATTTCTGTTCTGTTTTTAATCACAAAACTGCTAAGAAAAAATTCTTTGTTATAAACAAGCACAAATTGAAAATACTCATAGGTAAGGGATGATTCTTTACAAGAATTTAAATCAGAGGAAAGGAAGAACAAGATCAGGAAAACAGTTGAGTCCTACATTGTTGACCCTGCAGTCTTTAAAATACAGTGAATTCAGGCTGAGAACCCGCGAAAGGTGAAAACAATTTTAGCATGTTGCTGCCATAGCTCGCCATTAGGTGGCAGTAGAGTTCACATACATAATAATGCTATTCCTCCAAGGTCTGTATAAATGAAGTTATAATCATCTTCTAATCCACTCTTTCTCAGGGCTGACGCCGTGCTAAGAATTTACATTTCAGATATACTGAATCAGAATCTACATTCGAACAAAATTCCCAAATGATTCAAAGCCCTGGTTTTAATAACCAAGGGTAAAGGAAGATAGTCTCCTGAAATCATTTCCATGATTATCCATAAACAATATAAACAAGTGCCTGAGGAACAAAATGAAGATAGTGATTTTAAGCAACTTAGCCATCTTACTGCATTGTAGTAATCTTTCTTGCAATAAAGAATGGGAGTCAGGATTTTCATTCTGTTTCTTCTTTTTACTGACTTGTTACACCTAAAACGGCACTCAATATCTTTTGGGTTTCAGTCTACTGATTTACAAAATAAAGTGGAATTATTATCATTATTGTTTTATGTGGCTGAACACAAAAGACCTAATGGATACATATCAGTTGTCACAGTTCTCTGACAATGGAATATGTAAGGTGTATGTAAATTTCCCTTAAATGATAAAAAGATATTTGTGGAAATGTGGATAAGGAAGTTGAGACACATTTTGAAAGTCAATACCAAAACCAGAAAGACATGCCAGTGCCTTCACAAATAATGATTAATGCTATTTTTCTGGTAGCCAAATATTTTAAATTAGTTCAAATAACTACTCTTCTTTCCTTAAACCTTGTTCTTAGTTATTCACATTATTCCTGTTAAAAGTAAACTTAGGAACATTCTATTACTCAACATTCGAATAGATATGCTATTTTTCTACTAATAAAAACAGTGATAAATTCTGACCTGAGTAGTGTAGAAAATAGATAATTGAGAAAACAAGTTTTTTTTTAAAAAAAAAAAAAAGAGAGAGACTAAATAAAGTAAAGATTTCTTGGGAAAGATGGCTAGAAGCAAGGACAATACTGGCTGGAACACCACGAACACATGTTTTTGAGACACAGAAATCTATAGAATTAAGGAAGCCATATGTTTATAGGAATAGTTCAATTTTCATAATTGCCAAAGGTACAATTAACTTAAAAAATTTATGTGATGCGTTAACTTGAAGGAATTAGATTAGTAGAATTGTAATGGTGGTAACTACAAGCTGATCGGCACACTTTTGACTTTTATTAATGAATATTTTGTCCTTAAGATTGCAGTCGAATTTTAGTCACTGTGTAATAATCCACTGGACCACAAGGTCAGTTTGAACTGCAAAGGTCAGCAGTTCAAATTCACCAGCAGCTCCTCGGAAACCCTATACAGGGTTGCTATGAGTCTGAACCAACTCCTGAAGGCACTTAGCAACAATAAAAACAAGGAACAGCAGTTAAGTGATGATCACCTGCTAACTGAACCTACCCAGCAGATTCAGTGTACTCCCATAAAGATACAGCCTAAGAAACTCTCAGGAGCAATTGTACTCCATCATATAGGGATTCGATGAGTTGAAGCTAACTTATCTGCATACAATGCATTCACAGTAGTCACATTTTAACATAAGGAAGCAATACAATTAGACCAGTTTACCAAGCATTGTGGTGTTATAATGTAAAAGTCCAAACTTTCACTCAACTTAAAAAGTACTTTAAAAACAAAAACCAAAAAAAAAAGCCCACTGCCATTGAGCTGGTTCTGACTCATAGCGACTTTTATAGAGTTTCCAAAACTGTAAATCTTTATGGTAGCCAACAGCCTCAGAATGTGCTGGTGGGCTTGAACCACCTTGCAGTAACAGCCCAATATCTAATCCACAGCACCATTTTAGAATAGTGTAAGTACATGAAATAGGCAGATTATTATCAGAGCAAAATGAAGTGTTTCACAAAACATTTCCTTTTAAGACAAGAACAAACATTATTTTATTATTCATAGCTTAGTTATGCATTATAAATGATTCCATGATTATTATGTGAAAGAGTGGTAGTTATCTTGGTACATGATTTAAATTATGAAAAATTAGATTTTTATAAAGCTACATTTGAATATGTAATATGCTGAATGATTAACACCAGCAATATCAAAATCATGCCATTTTAATGCATATTTTTTGGCCAGAAATTGTCTCCTAGAAATAGTTCAAATGAAGAAAATAGTTCTTGGTATAAAAATGTTTATTGCATTTTTATTTATGATTGAAAGATTAGATCAATCTTAATCTCAAATAAGCAAGAAAGAAATATTTAAGAAAACTATGATGTACATATACACACAAGTAAGGAATATTATTCTGTAGTTATAAAAAATGAACAGAAGACTGGGAATTTTATTACAAAATAAATTTTATTTAAGCATAAAAGCATATATAGATGATTGGAAGAGAACTTGAAGAAATGTAAGTAGACATAGGCTTATAGTAACCTATATTTACCTCTTTTTATACTTTTTACTTAACTTAATAACATACCAAATTTAATTACCTTAAGAATGGCTGGAGAACAATTGAGTCTTAATAATTCTAAAAAAAGAAAAGTTTTATAATTTTAATAATATATACATTGCTAGGAATTTTATATTGACTTATAGAAGCAAAGTATTTGAAGTTCTTAAATCATATATTGCCTTATAATTCTTATCTTGAATTTATGTATTCCATAGGCAGACTATTGAATGAAACATCTAAGAATACTGTTTTTAAGCACTTCCAATTAATAGGCTCAAAGTTTTTAATTTTAGTAATGTAATTACATAGTCTTCTTATAATAGAAAGACAGCTTGGATGGGAAGAGAGGAATAAAGAATTAGAAAGAGAGTAGATCATAAACTTAGACTTAAAAGAACCCCAGAATTCTTTATCAAAGCTTAGAACAGCAGGTTCTATGGACAATTTGCAGGAAAAAAAACTCAGTCTATCAATAATCCACTCATAACTCTGGGAGTCCAGGAATTGGTCCTGAGGTCTTAGGACATAGATCTACCAACTAATTCAGTAGTAATCAAAATGTTACTTTGAATAGTTGCTATGCAAACAATCATTTATGTTATTTTACTACATAGCTATTGTTCAGGAGAAAATACTTTTGAAATGTGTTGTGAATGAATTTTAATGTATTTTCCCACTGAGATTTTGACCATTGGGTATAAACTACCCTAAGTTTTTATGTTCAACAAAAGTATTAACTTTTCATTCCTTGCAATATTTATGTGGATATATGGGATGCTAAGGCTTGTCATTTCCAATATTATAAGTATCTATTACAGATACTGGTCTTGATGCTTAGTTTAAAAAGAAAAGAAACTCTTTTGAGAGTTCAGTGCACTGGAAATTTCTACCAATATTTCTCTTCGAAGGTAAAATGTTACATGTTACCTGGATATTGTTTTGTTGCATCCTATTTCAAGTTCTCTGTTTCCTCTCTCAAAAATGCATGTGTTCTCTCCACATTGAGAACAGACAGTGTTAATTGAAATGTAGCATGGGATGTCTGCCTATTGATATTTTCATCTGTACTGTATGTGAGAATGTTGTCTGTGAAGGAAACGTATAAAGAATAAATGTGGATACTCTGCTGTTCAACTACATGTGGTTTATTTTCTGCTTGTTTGAAAACACTGCAGAATAAGGTTTTGTATGAAGTTGTCTACACGCCCCATCCCGGTGATTTGGTGGCCCCATCCTTGCCGTATTCCTGGCTTTTGAAAAATCAATGGGACTAAACACTGACTTTTCCCTAAAGCTTGGCCAGATTAGATTGTAGATATGTTCAAAACACATGAACCTTGGTTGTTGTTTACTTAAAACATCCAAATATTTTCATTAATTCTGCAGAAACATTTTATTTGTTGTTGTTTTTTCCCCTTCCTTTTGGTTTTTTATAACAGGAAATATTAAATGTCAAGAAAAGTACCATGCCATTATCCAAATTATCTTTTAATTAGTGCCAGTTGAAACATTGTTTACATTGAAAATCATTTCATTTCAGCCACAGCGTCCTGTGTTTACTCATGAAAACATTCAAGGTGGGGGGGAACCGTAAGTACTCTTCTTATCTTCTAAATTCAAGACTAACCTTGATCCACAAAATGGGCAGTGATGTACCAAAGCAACTCTTCCAGAGAAAGAGACCAAAGAAACTAACATGAGACCTCCTAAATTAAGAGAAAATTCAATAGTCTCCATAGTTTATAATGTAGAGCAAAAGCAAACTTAAGTTTTTTAAATAAAGCATGGTTTTACAGAGAAGGTATTGAAATGTCTTCCACGCCTAAGTGATTGCTAAGATTTGTAAATTCATCTCCCTCTTGGTTCTACTGGCCATGTAGTATAGTTTCGTTAACTACAACTTTAAAGATAACTAGACAATGTTCTAACATGGTGTTTACATAAATCTGGAGACCTGAGGAATGAAATAGACCTAAAGTGATAAATTAGTAATATAATTCCCAAACTACATTCTTAGAAGGATCTTCTGAAAGTAACAGTACTGAAATACTCACATTTGTGAAATGATAACTTGCTCTCTTAACCCCAGGAACATGTCTTTTCAAACTTGTCTTTTTCAATGCCCTCCCTTTTTTGACACAAAAGGCAAATCAGCCTGAAGGTGTCACATACTGCCTTTAGACTTCTATCTTTTATGTGGTTGTTGTGTTCCATTTCTGACTTTAAGAGATGTTGGGAAGTTATAAACGTCCTTTGCTCACTGTCTGTTCTGTGAGTCAGGAACTAGACCCCTACAAAGGAGCATTTATGGAACTAAACCTTACTCAGCAAATCTAAGCACCTGTAGTGAGCCCCACCTGAGCTCTACTTACCTGAAGCAGAGCACACAGACAATAAGACTCCTTCCTGCTAATAGGTAGGACTGGTTCTACAGACTGGCCTGGGGCCTGATAGCTGTCCACCTCCTGCTCACAGACCTTGTCATGTGGTTAAGTGCTGTGAGTCCATCCCGACCCATAGTAATCCTAAACTAAAAGCTTTTCCTGCAGAAACCACCTCATCTGAGTCTGGCTCTCACCAAGTACAGCTAGAAATGTTCTATTGCTGAGAGAAAGTCTGTCTCATGAGGCGGGTGGAGGGGAGGGACAAGTTAAGATAAGAATAATTTTAATTTTCCCTTAATTAGAAAAAAAAAAGGTAATACAATTTGTGATCCTACGGTTTTCCTTATTTATATAAAACAGTAATAATATCATGTCACACCACACAGAAAAAATAAATTCCTGGGCTATTTAGATTTATTGCATTACTAACACTTTATGTTAAGCACCTTTTAAGGTGTTTATGAATTACAAGGTGTGTTATGTGGCATTTAAAAGGACTTCTGGGGTAGTGCTATAGGATCAGCACTGGACTGCTAACTGCAAGGTCAGCAGTTCAAACCCACTAGCTGCTTCTTGGATGCCCTATACAGGGTAGCTATGAGTTGGAACAGACTTGATAGCACTTTAACAACAAGTGTGACACTGTTATCTAATATGGTGCTATTACTTCCACCAATGGTCCTTTAGGTGTGTGTGAAATCACAGAATTCATTTTTTAAATCCCGCTTAAGACATTAAAAACATGCTTTATGAAATTTCTGTTTGATTGCAACCTCAGCTAATGGAATTATGGGGTACCATTTAATGTCTTTCACTTAAAAAATGGGGTTTGAAAGAAAATATGCTTGTAGTAAAATATAGGAAAAGTTGCATGTCATAGAGCTCCAGTTTAGTTTAATAGTACTTTCCATTTAAAAGACACATTTATTTTTGAGGCATCTTGACTTCACCACCATCGGTCATTTCACCAACACCTCTTTCAGAACAGCATTTTCGTATTGTGATTTGATTGTGTTTCCTGTTATGCGTGCAGCACTAATTTTTGAAAGCCAACAGAGGTAGGAGTGTTTCCAGAGATTTAGTTACATTTCTGTGAAACTCCCAATTTTTATTTATCTTTTTTTTTTTTTGTCTAATTAAATCAGAACGGTACGTAAAGTTTGACAAGCATGCTGGCTTTCATCAATCCAAAGTGAAATAGGAGTCTGCCAATTTTGGCTTTTTAGCTCTTGGGACCTTGAGATTCTTTAAGCAGCTGGGGATTGTGGCCTTAAATAGGCCTGTCTCCTTAAGTGGTTGGAGACATGCCCAGGAGAAGGCAGATTCCTGAGAAGTTCAGTGAATCAGTCTCTCCAAAGTGTGAGAACAATGTATACCCATTGAGTTAGCAGTCTAGTAGTGACTATCTCCCACAAATGTGGAACTGGGAAAAAAAAAAAAAAAAAAAAGACTATGACTATGTTATTTGTCCCCTTTTTTAACTGAATATTTTGATTTTATGTTGAAATCAACTTCCCACATGGGTATATAAAAAATACCAACTATATACCTGAATAGCCTCGAAATCAAATCCCTAATGCACAGACAAAAATTAACAAAGAAAAAAACCCCTAGTGCTGGACTCTCAGGCTTTGGAACCGGGGCGTGGAAGAGTATTGGGCATCTGACATGACCAGCTCTTCCCCAGAGCCTCGTGAAGCCAACTTTACCCAAGGTAGTCTGAAAAAGTTTATGGACAGAGAGGGGAAGCCAAGGGAGCCAAGTGTCTCATTTACCGCGTGATGATTGAGTTCAGACCATAGAATCATTTTGTTCTACCAAAATATGAGTTTCTAAACTAATAAAGTAATTAGACATAAATTGTTCTTTTTCCTGAACAGTATTTATTATCAACTTTTTAAAGGTGACCTTAAAAATCCAGTGTTCTGGAATATGGTTCTTATTTTCTTACAGTAGCAGAAGTATGTAACTGTTATGAAGAACATAACAGTTTTTAACCTGATCTGATGGTCCTATCACATTTAAGCTTCGGCAATAATGAGTACATTGGGCAGAACAGCTCAATCTGCTTGTTTGATCTTGAAGTGAGTTTTTAGTCTCTTTGTTCAACAAACACAAATTCACTGCTTTTTAAAAATCTACTTCACAGTAATGGAAATATCTCAGGAATAATATGAACACGTTTTCATGTTAACTATGTATCAAACATTCCCTGAACTTCTGGGCTGCTAGAATTATTGTCTTCACTTTCTCAAATGCAAGTCCATGTTAATATTCATTAAAACACAAAGTATTTTATTACAACCCAATCAGTATCTGGATTCATTACTAATCAAGATCACCATAATATGCAACATCAAAGTATTCAGATAGGAAAAAGGGAGAGACTGGATTAAGTCATTAATTCTTTATATAACATTATTCCAAGAGAAAACATTATTTAATCAAATACAGTTTGTCCAGGACCCATTTTAGAAAGGAATTTTGTTCTATCATGTACTGGTTTATCAATTCAATGATACTTGGGCATAGAATAAGCTAAGATCCCCTTAACTTCCCAGTTGAATTGCATTAGATTTTTTTATTCTAAAACTTAAGAAAACATTTCTGCAACCTTTGATAATAGACTGTTTTCTGGGTGGGTAAAAAAAGTCTTCTCTTTCATAGTAATTCCCTTAAAGTGATTTATAAGACATGTATCCGAAATATTTTATACATTTCCATTTAGATTCACTTGAAAACTCAATTTGCAAACCCAAATTGTTTGTCTCTACTTACAGCTAGCTAAAAATAATTCCTTTTCATTCTTATGTAGCTGAATCATTAAAATATCACATTTATAGTCTATACTATTATTTGATATTGGTATAATAGATATTATTTGAATAGTCAATTGAAATGTAGGTCTGACTTTTAAATGTTAAAATGTTGCATCCAATCCATGGATGTTATAACCCACAATGAATATTCCTCACTGTGAGTTTTTTAAATGTTATTAAAGTGGTCTGATTCTCATGGAAGTCTAAATATTTCTACTACTGCTATATGACTACCAAAGACTTATGCTATTTAATATACTAATAAGAGTAAAAATGTTAAAGGTAAAATGAAAATTGTACAATCTTCTATAGTTTAACAAAGGAGTAAAGATTTATTTTAAACAAACCCATTTGTCCTGTTTAAGATTTCAGGCTCTGTATAACTATACTCCTAGGAATGAAGATGAGCTGGAACTGAGAGAGAATGATGTCATTGATGTGATGGAGAAGTGTGATGATGGATGGTTTGTGGGTATGTGTAGATTTCTTTTCTTGACACATTTGGCTATTTTATAATTTGCTTCTGTTTGCTCATTTGCATGGTTCAATGTCATAGTCAAGCTTTCTTTGAACTCACAGTGCCTTTGATCTTTCATACATACACTCATAAGCATAATGTAATTCCAAGGCAAATGGGTTGTTAATAAAGTTTAGGATCTACTGCTCCAGGTACCTGTGTTATTTCCACTAGTTTTATTTCCAATTCAACTGAGAGAAATTTTCACCAGTTAGAATGAGATCTGAAGAAAAACCAAACAAACAAAAATAAATTGCTTTCTAGATGAAAAAATATCAACATTCTGTTCAGTGGAGAATGTTGGTAGCCAATAGTGAGGATGTCGTTTGAGAAGGGAGCAAGACTGAATGAACGGCTCATTCATTTACTGTTGTTGTTGTTAATTGCCGTGGAGTCGGTTCCGACTCATAGCGACCCTGCACAGGGTTTCCGAGGCTGTAAATCTTTACGGGAGCAGAAAGCCTCATCTTTCTCCCGCGGAATAGCTGGTAGTTTCAAACTTCTGACCTGTGGTTCGCAGCCCGATTCGTAACCACTACGCTACCAGATGTAAGTACCCTGAAAGTGCAATAATTCACTTTAGCTTTAATCTGTGCTCTCAGTGGAAAGAAATCCCATTCCTACCACTTAAAAGCCAATCCCAGAAAAGCAAAAGGAAAGGAACAAGGGGTTTTTTAAGTAAGTGAGTTGTCACATGGTTCAATAAGTGTCAGAATAATAAAAGAACTAAGATCACATTTGCATCCACAAATCTCTGATTCTGTTTATATTCATTTCCATTTAGAAAACCAGTTAAATAACTTACCTACACAGGGATAGGGGGACAGTAATGAAACTAGAAATACTTTCCAGAATATAAATAAGAAACGAAACACTGGAGATCCTAAAAAAAGATTTTGTGCACCAAGTATTACAAAAAGCTTCAAGGGGATTATGTCGTTTGAAACCAAAGGCAGCCTTAAAGATGGCCATGTGTGCATTGAGTTTAACCCACCATGTGAGAAATCTTGCCTGATGAGGGGACACCTACCCTCATAGTGATGTGTTTTGTGTTTTTTTTCCCAATGACTTTGTAACTTGTTCAAAATGTCCATATTTTTTTAAGGATTCTGACAGTGCTATTCATAAATGAATGATATAGCATTCAGCATGACTGTTTATGTGATGATAAAAATGTTTTTGGATAGTAACAGTATCCTAGATCATTTCTGTGTTGTTTCTCTGCATTTTTTCCCCCACAAATGAATAATTGAGGAAGGCCTCTTGCCCACTGAACCAAGCCTTGCCCTTGTGCTTTCCCTACCCATCCTCGCACACTGCCAGACTTGTGCCATATTAAGAAAACTTACTTGAACATATCCCTTCCCAAATATTTTCCCATTCCATTCATCACGATTCCTTAGCAGCCTTGGTGGCTGAGTTCTGCCACCCACCTTCTCGGCTGGGCTGGAAGACTTCCCCTTTAGACTGAGAGACTGAGTTTTCCTTTTTAACCTGATCTGATGGTCCTATCACATTTAAGCTTCGGCAATAATGAGTACATTGGGCAGAACAGCTCAATCTGCTTGTTTGATCTTGAAGTGAGCTTTTAGTCTCTTTTGTTTTTTTTCTCTTTTCCAAACCTTGCTATTTTAGGGAAGCCTTGCAAATAATAAGCTCTTAAATCGACATATTGGACAGATATTTCATTGTTGTTACCACCTTTCATTTATTGCTTCTATTTTCAGGAACCTCAAGAAGAACCAAATTCTTTGGTACTTTTCCTGGAAACTATGTCAAGAGGCTATGAATCACTCTCCCTCCTTATTTATGCTGCATTTCAGCAACACATCTGCATAAACCTGCCGGAAACCTCCCTGCAGGCCTTCCGTTGTCATGCCTTATGGTTTCCAATGGAAGTCACCCACCATCACCATCTCCACCTGCTGCCAAACCACCAGCAGAGTAACTGCCACTACCATGCCTAGGGGACACAGGGCAGAATTGCTTCCTAACCAGAGTACCGATTTCTGCTTTCTGCTAGAAATTTGTAAACATTGATATGTGGGATTACAAAGAAAATCATTATACTTGAAAATGATAACATATTTAAGGGGCGGGGGGGGGGCGGAATTGTGTCTCAAGGAAGCTCTTCTGGTACTCTAATAAAACATTTTGGAAGATGTCCTCCCCTCAGACAACCAGAAGATGGTTTATTATGAAATGCTGTGGTTTGCATTTCCACATTCTTAGCTTGGCAATATATTTTCTTTTCACAAGTTTGCCTAGTGTTCTGGTTTACACTATATGACAACTGTACTTCAGCTATTGTTTGCCTGCACTTATGTGTTATAATATGCACAGTGATTATGAAATCTAAAGAGTAGGGACCTTAATTAGGATGAGTGTGGTTTTGTTGATTGAATGTGAGTTTTTGAACAGGAGTCTTTTCCTGCAATTTTTTTTTTTTGTACTTTTTAGAAGTGCAAACAGTAAGTGAATAAGAGTCTTTGGTAGTAATCATGAGAATACAAGAGGGTTAGCTTGATGACTAAAAAGAAAAGAAGAAAAAAAAACTGTTGTGTTGTAAAGTTGCATTGCTATTTTATATTAAAATATAATCATCAGCATCATGAACAATGAGCTCTTAGTGTTTTATTTATCTGATAAATTTTAAATAAAAACAGTGTTAGTGAGAGGTACAAGGAATTATTCTAATGTAGACACTTGAAAGTATCTGTAAGCAATATTCATAGATTAGATTTCACTGTGTGTACACATATGCATTTGAGATTGTATAAAATCATGCAATCCATAAGATATGTAGTACGTTGTGTGGAAATGTAAAAGAGTTTCACAAATTGTTTTATAGAATAGAGTACTTTGAAAGCATCACTAATATTAAGGCTGGTTTTAGTAAGGATTATGATCAATACAACTATTTTTACTATGATAATTATTTTTCTTCTATGGAACTCAGAACCCTGACTACAATTGAGGACAAGAATATATTGAGCATGACTTTCTTGGTATGTGGTGTAAAATATTTCCTAGGTGTAAATTAGGCACTTTTTAGAGGCAATTTTAAATCATTCAGGTTATATTTTATGCCCTGAAGCAGCAATTTACAAACTGATATTGGGACCTGAAAGATTTGATATGGTTAACAGTGCCTAAACTACACATACACTAAGAACTAGCTTTGTATTTCTTATGACTTTGCATAAGAACTCTTCATATTTTGGTCTTGAGCACCTTACAGATAAAACTTTTTATGCCATTTCTTTTGTGGGCAGTGACTGGCCTTTCACAATGTATGTAGACTCTAGAATTTTGTACATATGTTTGTTCTTTTTTTGTACAGACTATTTAGTTGTTGAGAAAATGGGGGTGGAGGGGAAGGATCCTAATTTGGTCTTTATCCTTCACTTAAACTAAGTCAAAACACTTTCAGAGGGTTTTTCTGTCCATATCCCATAATCCCAAGCACCTCTTTGTAGTGTGATTCCGTAAGACAGCATTTATGCAAACGTTTATCAACTTAGAAAGTCTTAGCAGTGAAACCAAAATGTGCATAGTTATTACAGAGGAATTTCACTAGGGAGAAAATAATGAAACATCTTTGAATAGCCTACTGTGATTACTGTCAAGTGCACAACCAGCTTTGTATTTTAAAGGCTTTGGGTTTGAAATTTGGTCAACTGCATGCAGCTTTGCTGAAAATGAATTACTATCTTTGATGCCATTTATGAGAAAAGACTTCAATATCTGTTGCCTGTCATATTTAAGAAAAATTACCATTTCTACTCTCTGTATCTAATTTTAAAAGGAAAACTATTCATACCTGACTCTCAGGTAATTGACTTTGAATTCTTACAAGCAAAGGTCATTGTGTTTTTTCTTGAATAGACAGCTAATAAATTTTGCTTGGAAGTATACTTCAGTTTTACTTCTTTGTGCTTATCCTTAAGTGAATTGCGTCTTTTATTGCACCTTGTTGGATAAACTAAGAGAAAATGTATTTGCCCTGCATTCTCTTAACACACATATAAAGAAAAGACTTATCTGCATTAGTTCAGAGAAGAAGTATTTTTTATTTAAATCTACCACCAAAGTTCATTAAACCACCATCAAAACTCATTTGCTAAATACTCTTTGGCTAAAAAGAAACTCCTGTGGCATAGTCTGGTTGTCAATCTCAGGGTCAGCAGTTCAAAACTACCAGCGGTTCCATGGGAAAAGGATGAGGCTTTCTGCTCCTGTAAAGATTTACAGCCTAGAAAAACCCTCGGAACCGACTCCATGACACATAACCACCACCACCACCACCTTTGGCTAAAAGGTTTTCTTCAGCTTAAAACAACACATTTATAATTATCTCTGCATTTAAAACAGCTGTTTTTCCAAGGAGAAGTTAATAACAAGAAGTTGTGAGAACGTTTCCAGTTCATCTATCTTGAATTTTTTAAGATCCTTGTACGAATAGACTTTGTATTGGATGCTTGAAATGACAGACTGCCACAAGCTTTCAATGAGTTTCAGATTACGTGTACAGCAGCAGCATGGCCTTCTCTCACTTAAATAGACACTAGCTCACTTTCCTACTAGAATCCTTTCTAATATAGCTGAGACCTTTCTGGCCCTTGGTGTTTCAACTCTTTCTAAAGCTACCTCTCAAATATTCAGAAGCACTTACATTTCTCTGCAGCCATCTCAATCATTCAAGAGATCATCTCACAGTGCTTCACCGTCATATCCACCTGGGTCCTCTCTATTCTACTGAATAATTTCTACTTTCCACTTTATATGGATTTTTCACTGAAATGGCTTTCCTTTGTGTGAAGAGTGTACAACAGGACATTCTACTGTTCCTATTTTCATCAGACCATTTTAGTTAAATCCAATGCTTGTTTGTGTTTCTCTCATCAAGTGAATTTGTCGCCAGATTGTCAGTACTCCCTCCCCCAAATTATGATGTCTAAAATTAAAGTACCCAACTAGTTGCCTTGGAGTTAATTCAAACTCTCAGAGACCGGATGTAGACCAAGTATAACTGCTTCATAAGATTTCCTTGCCTATCATATTTACCAAAGCAAATTGTCAGGTCTTTCTTGCACAGTGCCACTGAGCAGATTAGAACCACCAGCCTTTAGGTTAGTTGTTGTGAAGTGCCATCGAGTCGATTTCGACCCATAGCAACCCTGTGTAGAGTTTCCAAGGAGCAGCTGGTGAGCTTGAACCACCAAGCTTGCAGTTCAAATGACTTTGCAATCTGATGCACTAGCCCACAGCACCACACCAGGATCAAGTGCAAACCGTTTTCACCTCCCAGAGAGCTCCAATTTAAGTTCACATGCACCCGAATATGGATTTCCTTGCCCAATCTAAGAATTAATCTTTGTGCTTCCCTTCACAGTCTACTGAGGCACCGTAGCAGCTTGAGACAAGCCTGGAGCTCAGGAATATGCAAGCAGTGTTGTGGTTTGCACACTCTGCTATCTCAGCTATCCAGACCCTGCTCTGGAATCCAGAACGGCACCAGCCACAGATTGTCTCTCTTGCAATACTTGTCTCCTCCATGGAGTCCATGATTCTGGGTGGAATATTGAGTTATCTCTGGTTTCCAATTTCTTTAATACTTAGTAACCCATGTCATTTGATTTTTTGTTGTTGGTGTTGCCAAGGAATACTCATCATGACACACCAAAATGCTTGAATGCATCTCATCGATGGCACCGAAAGCCCACTTGGTGGGTGGACTAGAGACATGGTTGTGAACCCAACACAGCAAAGCTCCTGGAGCACTGACTACACACCAAACTATCTGCCTGTGGACCCAGCCTCTGGGTGCTAACTGGCCATCTAGGTCAGGCGGAGGACAGCAGGAAAGGCCATCCGGGTATTTTATATGCCAAATTGTAACTCCTCCTGATTGAAAACAGGTCCATTTCTTACTTTAGAGAAAGCAGAAGAAACCTCTCTAAGGAATTTTCTGTTTCCATGCTCATTCATTGCTTGGGATCGCTCTGTAGGTGGTCAAGTTGTGTGGCCTGAAAATTTCTTCATACTCTTCAAATTTCAGACGCAAAGGCAGATACTTTTAAAAGAACAATTGGAGCAAATAAAACTAAATGTTCTGTCAGCTTCTAGCTTCTAAGAGCGTGTTTATTTAAAATTTTAATTATTTCATCCTCCTCTCCAGATTTTAACCATTGTACATGCATCACTTGTGATCTCACATATTTTCTTGTCATTAATAAGCAGGGTCCGAGAGGAAGCAGAGATTGTCATTATTGATAAATGGTCTATACCAGGGATTAAGGAGCTCTGGTAGCATAGTGGAGTGGTTATGAGTCAGACTGCTAACATCAAGATCAGCAGTTTGAACCTACCAGCCATTCCACAGGAGAAAGATAAGGCTTTCTGCTCCTGTAAACATTTACAGCCTCGGAAAACCTATGTAGGGTCGCTATCAGTCGGAACCAACTTCATGGCACACAATCACCACCACCACCACCATCAGGCATCGGAGCCCGGGTGGTGCTGTAAGACAAGCACTGGACTCCTGACTTCAAAATTGGCAGTTCAAACCCACCAGCCATGAAAAAAGATGAGGCTTTCTGCTCCCTAAAGATTTATGACCTTGGAAACCCTATGTGGGGTCGCTATGAGTAGGAATCGACTCATATGACACACAACCACCACCACCACCACCACCATCATCACGGATTGAAGCCCAGATGGTGCTGTAAAATAAACGCTGGACTCCTGACTGCAAAATTGACAGTTCAAACCCACCCGCCACTCCAT